GTGGATCTTAAAACTGAATTCATTACTGAATTATATTTTTCAGCTTGAACCAATGTACAGACAACGCTTCAGTAACTTCATCCAGATGATAATTCATGGTTTCAGGTGAGAAATAATATATGAAGACTTTGCTCAAAAGTAAGTGTTTTTCTTTATTGTTGATGAATTTCATCCTGTATTTAACTATGGTTGTGTTTTAGGAACGGTTCGATTGTGACAAATTCCACTCTTGAATTTAGTGCCAATGGCACCATCCCAACTAACTCCACAGTACAAGGCACCCTTGTTAATGCGACTAGCACCATCTCAAGCTTGAACATTATTTCAAATTCTATAAGTGTCACCCAGGTTCCTGGTCAGTATTCACTTTCACTGATACTGCATTTTAATAACATTTTGTACATGTAAGTATTCTAATTCCTATTTAACCTCTCAATTAATAGTGACAAATACAACTACAACAAACACGACATCAACAAACACGTCCTCAACAAACACGACTTCAACAAACTCCACTTCAGCAAACTCCACTTCAGCAAACTCCACTTCAAACTCGACCACATCTACAAACGGCTCTTCAACAAACACTCCTGTAGTAGCTGCAGCATTCAACTTGGTCTTTAGCATCAATGAAACCTTTGTGCCAGCACTGGCCAATACCAGCTCTCCAGAATTTATAGCAAAAGCTCAAAGTATCCGTAATCAGGTATGTTTTATTTATAATGCTTTTATTCATAATCTATTTCAATCTTCAAAACTTGCCATAGTTCTTCTACCATATAAGACAACATGAGAACTGATTATGTCTTCTATGAATATTGTGAAATCAATGATGTTGGCCATGCAATGGTGCAGATGTCTGCATTTGAACGTTTATAAGTCTCTGTATATTACTTACAGTTTAACTTTAACTATATGCAGGTCTAAAATGACAAAACCAAATGGCCAATTCATATCAGTTCAGTGTTTATGAAAAATCTATAAGTTTTCAATGAATTATTTTTTCAGCTTGAACCAATCTACAAACAGATCTTCAAAAGCTTCATCCAGATGATAATTTATAGTTTCAGGTGAGATATAATTTATATATAAAAACATTACTCTGACTTTTCAGATTTTCAACCGGTATTTAACTATGGTTGTGTTTTAGGAGCGGTTCGACTGTGACCAATTCAAGCCTTGAATTTAGCTCCAATGGGACCATCCCAACTGACTCCACAGTAAAAGAGGCCCTTGTTAATGCATCTAACACCAACTCAAGCTTGAACATTATTGCAAGTTCTATAAATGTCACCCAGACTGTTGGTCAGTATACTATTTAAGGATATTGTATTTTAATAACTGATTGGTACATGTGGATATTCTAATTGCAATATAACCTCTCAATCAACAGTGGACAACACCTCTTCACCAAACACCACTTCAACCACAACCACAACCACAGCTTCAACCACAACCACAACCACAGCTTCTACCACAACCACAACCACAGCTTCTACCACAGCTTCTACCACAGTAATACCGGCTGCTCCTCCAAATACAACTGCAATTTTCAACTTGATTTTCAGCATCATAGAAACATTTGATCCAGCACTGTCCAATATCAGCTCTCCAGCGTTTGCAGCAAAATCTACAAATATCCGTAATCAGGTATGATTTGTTAATAATTCTTGCATTTACATTTTATTCCATTCTTCTAAACAAAAGTGTGTGTGTGATATTATATATATATATATATATATATATATATATATATATATATATATATATATATATATATATATATATATATATTTTTTTGTGTGCATTCTCATTTTGCTCAGGTTATGATTGTGGTGTTCAGACATATATTCCCCTTCCTCAGACACATTAGTGTTTGAGATCAAAAGATGGATATGAAACGAGAGTTTAGGATCTAAGCTTTTATGTCCTGGTATTTACGTCTAGATGTGTTAAACAATAAACAAAAAATGGAAAACTTAAAGAAGCAGAAAATATAGGAACAGATAAGTATTGAAGTAAATAACACGTAATAGTTGGTTGCATGTCCCTCGGTAGCAGTAACTGCATCAATCCTGCGACTCACTGACACCAAACTGCTGGTTTCTTCTTCTGTGAAGCTTCTCCAGGTTTTCACTGCAGCTTCTTTCAGTAGTTGTTTGTTTCGGGGGGTTTCTCCTTCAGTCTCCTCTTCAGGAGGTGAGATGCTGATCAGTTGGGTGAAGGTCTGGTGATTGACTTGTCCAGTCTAAAACCTTCCACTTTTCCCCTGGATGAAGTCCTGTGTTGAGGTGGAAGTGTGTTTTGGATCGATGTCTTGCTGCATGATGAAGGTCCTCTTGATTAGATTGGATGCATTTCTCTGTAAACTGGAAGACAGATAGTTTCTGTAGACTCATGGATTCATTCTGCTGCTACCATCATAAGTTCAATCAACTATAAAGATTAGTGAGAATGTTCCAGAAGCAGCCATGCGAGCCCAAGCCATGACACTACCTCCACTATGTTTCACAGATGAGCATGTATGTTCTGGATCATGAGCAGATCCTTTCTTTCCCCACACTTTGCTCTTTCCATCACTTTGGTAGAGGTTCATCTTGGTTCCAGAACTTCTGTGGCTCAGCTCTATACAATAATAATAATAATAATAATAATAATAATAATAATAATAATAATAATAATAATAATAATAAAAGTAAACATCAACATTCAAATGCAAGTTTAAAAAAGTATGTCTTTAGCTTTAAAAATGCCAAAGGTCTGAGTGATGTTGGTGATGTCACTGACTGTTGTTTTGGGGTTTTTCTTCACAGCTCTCACAATGTTTCTGTCATCAACTGCTGTTGTTTTCCTTGGCCAACTGGTTCCATGTCTGGTTGTTAGTACACCAGTTTTTTTCTTTTTCAGGACATTCCAAATTGTTGTATTGGCTATATGCAATGCTTGTGCAATGGCTTTGATAGACTTTACCTCTTTTCTCAGCTTTAAAATGGGTTGCTTTTCTCCCATAGACAGCCCTCTGGTCTCCATGTTGGTTTATCCCTTTTACCAACACATGCAGTCTTCACAGGTGAAACCCAGGGCTCAAACCAAGAGTAGACATTCACAGCTATTAATTCGTTACACAATCGATTTAGCAGAGCACACCTATCAGTGGGTAGTGAGAAACATCTATCAGTCGTGTTCAAATATTTTTGATCACTTAAAAAAAAATGGGTAGGCTCAAACAAAAGGTGCCATGTTCTAAATGATTAAACATATCTAGATGTAAACATGCGGAAATGAAAGCTGAAATTGTGATCTATCGTGTCATTCATCTAATTATCTCCACCCCAAATGTATTCAATGTACAGCAAAAAGAATAGAATTGGTCTTGCTGTTCCAGCACTTTCAGAGGGGACTGTAAGACAACACCAAGAACTCATAACGGTTCAATAGTTTGGCTTGCTCTTAAGAAGTAATATAGAACATGTCTAATTTTTGCAGTCGTCTGATGTTTCAGTTCAGTGTCATTAAGTTATATGAATATTCTGAAGTCAGATTAAATGGACATGCCTCATGGAACAACTATATATGAATCTGAACATTTTTAAGTCTCTGTGTATTTTGTATTTATTCCCTTTATCTATATCTAGTACTAAATGTGACAGAGCGGTTTATCCGTGTGTTTGAAATTGTTGTTGATTCCTGATTCATTTCTAATTTCTTTTAGGTTGAACCATTGTACAAGAAAGCCTTTAAAAACTTCGTCCTCATGCAAATTGTGAAGTTCAGGTAAGAAGGAAGATCTGAATCTGTATTTCTTGTTCATTTCTTTGTTGATTAATGATTTCATTTGAATCTGTATCTCTACATTTCTGTCCTTTCAGGAGTGGTTCTATTGAGACAGAAAGCAACATGTATATGAATTCTAGTGGCCCAAATGTTACTGCGACCGAAGTGAAAAATATCTTAATTAAAGGACTTCCCAACTTGAACTTTATTGTTGATCCAAACTCCATCAAAGTCACCCAGATTCTTGGTCAGTATACACTTGTACAGACTTTACTGTGAGACTTATTAAGTAGTGTTTGTTAATTAGAAATGAGGCAAAATGAATTAGGGTTAAATATATATTTGTGGATTAAATATTGTGTATAATGTTTATATTTTGCAGGTAATTCCATGTCACCAGTGATTGCCAGCTCACTTTCCATGATCTGGATGTCTCTCCTAACACTTCTACTTTCGGTGGCATTGCACTTCTAGCTCTACACCTGATCGGAAAATACACACAATGACCCTTATATAAAATAATATTTATGTAATAATGCATAAGAAAAAGGGAATTGGATACACCTGATTGATATATATATATAATTTGTATAACAATTGACAAGACAAAGGGAACATGGGTAAAATGATTCATCCTTATAAACAAAGGTATCTTCACATAAGAAATACTAATATTTTGAATTGTTGAAACTGGAGACTTAATGAAGGTTCTGATTTGCTTGAAACTTTCTCCACATTCTAAAAATCCTACAATGATTTTCTTTCATTTATATTTATATTCATATATAACTCTTTGTACTATACAGTATAATTTCTAAACACTTACTTGTATATGCATACCTACATATAACTTCTCTATGTAAGTGTACAATGATTATACACATCATATGAAGGAATGATATTTTCTGCACATAATTTAATAATGTAATGATAAACTTTAGAATTAAAATGTATGTGGACACTCACAATCACAACCGTATCTGTTTTATCCCCAAAAAGGTTGCCACAAAATTGGAAAAACAACTGTATAGGATTGTATGCTGTAGAAAGGGCTGTTGTGGGTGCAGGGTTTCTTTCTAATCAAGCAGGAGCCACAACTAATTCCACGTGTTTAATCAGTTTATAGTAGTCTTTCATAGATTTACATCATTTGGCAGATGCCCTTATCCAGAGCAACTTACATTTATCTCATGTGTACAACTGAGCAGTTGAGAGTTTAGGGGCTCAGCAGTGGCGTGCTGGGATTTGAACTCACAACCGTCCAATCAAAAGTCCAATGTTTTAACCCCTGAGCTACCACTGCCTATTTTTTTAATATTTCTCTTTACTGGAACAAATGGACTCAAATCTGTTCCAGCATAATACTGCCCCTGTGCACAAAGCGAGGTTAGGGCCTAACCTGACTAATGCTCTTGTGCCTGATTGGACAACTCCTCCATTTAGTCAAATGCAGCATATTATATATATAATATAGTATCTCACAAAAGTGAGTGTGATCAGTGTATATTGAGTACAGAGTATGCCTTTATCCAATGGTTTGAATATTTTGATCTAGATGACAGATTTTGGTTTAAAATTTTTAAGAAATTTACAAACATTTCTAAAAACTTGTTTTCACTTTGTTATCATAATAAACCAGAGATAATGAATTGCAGATGAAACCTATAATATAATATGTGCAAAAATATTCTCAGATACCGGATTTTTGATTTCCGTGAGCTGAAGCCGTAATCAGCGAGCTTAAAACAAATATTTAATATTTAATCATATAAAAATTTCACTTATATATGTGTAATGAATCTAGAATATATTCAACTTCAACTTTTTGAATGAAATTACGAACTTTTCCACGATATTCTAATTTTTTTAGATGCACCTGTATACACAATTAAGTTCAAATCATTTCGTATTAAAATGAGGGGTTTTTAGTGCGCACACATTTTTTAGTGCGACTGCTGAGCGTACATTGTGAAGACATCGTTCTGATTAATACAGAGATCACTTAACATCAGAATCACTAAACACAAATCTCTTAATGTGTTTAATCGCTCAAAATTACTACAGACCTCCTCTGGAAAATACTTAATATACCTGAAAAAACATTTCACTGTGTGACCCGCTCCTTCGAGTGTGAATACTAGACTCTCTATCTCTCTTTCTCTCTCTCTCTCTCTCTCTCTCTCACACCACACACACACACAATCTAGAAAGAAGTAATATGTTTAGATCATTTAATCTAAGATAAATTAGATTCTATCCAAGCGTGCACAAACATGTCAGGTTTTAAAGTGTGAGACACACCACACAACCAGAAGTACATGACCTATTTTCAGATCTTTCATAGAAACATTCAATCTCAGCGTGATCTTCACAGCAGCCACACCTTCAAACAGGTCGTGTTGGTCATGTCGAAATGTCAGTAGGAAAGTACATTATCGCCTTTTTCAAACTGTGTTGTCTGACTTCTGAGCATCTTTATCTGATACATGTTAGCTACTATTGTCCGCGCTGCTGAACAGATTTAAAAAAAAAAAAAAAAGAAAAGAATAAACGCTAATCTTAGCGATCGCAGCTACAGCTGTCTCCAAACCAGATTTTCAGCTATAATGATGGGAGGTGTACATCACACGGGTTATGCATGCCTGGCCACACCCTCAAAACCACAGGTGATGGTGTCATCAATTTGCGATAGTTAGGAGGCATGATAGGATGATAGCGTGTTGCACATGACATCATACGATCAGGAATAGGATGTTCAAAAAGCACATACGGTGTAATATTCCGGTGTCCACAAACTTTTGGCCGTATAATGTAGTTAAGATATGCTAGACTGCAGATTACTTTAATATGCGATAATAAAAGCACACTCTCAGAGGTCATAGTGGAGTCCATGCCTCGACGGGTCAGAGCTATTTTGGTGACACAAGGGGGACCTACATGGTATTAGGCATGTGGTTTTAATATTATGGCTGATAGCAGGAATGGACACACACACACACACACACAGACACCACACACACACACACACACACACACACAGAGCCTTTTGAACTGAAATCCTTCTCGCAGGAGCTGTACTGTCATATCCAGTCATTAATAGTGGCCTTCCCATTGCCACCTCAATCCATTGTTTAGGGACTGAAATTAGTCCCGTTCGTGACAGTGAATCCTAATCATCAATTAATATTCCAGATTAAGGTATGTAGCTAATTTTATTATTATTATTATTTTTTTTACACTTTTCTAGCTAGTTGGTTTAAGTCACAGGTCCCACACACACTGCTAGCTTTTCTGACATTTTTTCAGACAACAGATGTTTGATCTGTCCATTCAAATCGTGAGGGAACAGACTCATGTTTTAGGCATTTACAGGTAGTGGTTTTCAAGTAGTCAGATTCTTTCAAATGCCAGCAACAGATGTAAGTACTGCCTCTTAAACTCGTAAAACACTAACCCTCATCCTGGCAAATAGCACAAAGCCAAGTGAGAATCCTCATGCACTACCTGCTGGTTCAACCCGCCTCCTCTCTGTTCGTAGTTGGCACTCGACCACGCCACTCATGCCATACAAACACATATCTTTTACAATTATGCCAAAAAAAGGTTTTCCTCTGTCTCATCAGACCATAGCACATGTTGCTACATTGTTTGGGATGAATTAGGTGAGCTTGAATGTTTTTTTTTTTTTTTTAGATCCTGCTGTGCAAATATGTCCCCAATGGTACGCTCAGAGCATTCCTGCAGTAGTGGGGTTGCATACTCAGGCCAAATCTTTATATATCTCAATCTAGGCATAGTTTTCTTCATAACAGGTCTGTACGCCGGGGTGAGAAAGAGGGATAGATGATCAGACTGGTCCAAGTGAGGACGGGTAGAGACTTTATATCCTTCTCTGATGTTACAGTATAGATGGTCCAGTGTGTTTTGACCTCTAATGTGACATGCTGGTGGAATTTAAGGAAGACGGTCTTTAAACGTACATGATTAAAGTCCCCAGCCATGATAAAATCCCCATCGGGATGCATAGACTTCAGGTTGTTGATGGCGTTTAGTAGTTCCCACTCAGCGTGGCGTAAGGTCCCTTTCCAGAACCTTCACGCATACCGTTCCCCAGTGGTGGAATGCTCTTCCGATCTCAATCCGGACTGCAGAATCTCTCACTATCTTCAAAAAACAGCTAAAGACCAACCTCTTCTGTCAACACCTAATCAACTCCTAGAGAAAAAAAAAATAAATAATAAAAAAATAATAAAACACACACAACGCACTTACACCTCTACTCTGTGCATTTCCTCTGGTATTCAATTAATGGATCTTGTATAGTAGCACTACTTGTATTGTTCTCTGCTTGATATATTGCTTTGCTTATTTGTAAGTCGCTTTGGATAAAAGTGTCTGCTAAGTGAATAAATGTAATGTAATGTATTAGCAAGCTGTTCAATGCTTCATTAGCGTTAGCACTGGGTAGAATGTACACGGCCATGACAACAACATCACTGAAGTCACGCAGCCGATAGATGGGCTGATATCTCAGCGTAACAAACTCTAGGTCTGGTGAGCAGTGTCTTTCAGTCTCTGCAGTGTTTGTACACCACCTGTTGGAGTAGATGCACAGTCCGGCTCCTCTGCTCTTGCCAGAATCGCAGTTCCTCTCAACCGGCAGTATTTATTCTGTCATACTGGATAAGCAGGATAAGCTGGATGAGCTGGATGAGCTGAGAACATTAGAGAATCAGCTATGTTCTAAGTTACAACCACACAGACCTTCAACTGCTCAAAATGTTTCATGAAAATTCTTATTGAATCATAATGGTGGCATGAATAAACTTTTCTAAGCATAGCATGGCATGGGTGTATTAATTCCAGGACAAAAACAGATTATTTCCCCAAACTTTCTTCAATCACTCAAACATCGCTTCCAGCAGAATCAAATGTCCTTTTCACCGCTTAACATTCTCCTAAGCTTCTTTTTACATGAAACAGGCCAGATCAAATCACATTTTGTAAATACATTTCTAAATGTTCGATAAATACGTACATTCATTTTAACGATCTTTTCCCCCATTCTTAATCTAAAACATTCCATTTTAGACTTTAACTCTTTTAATCTAACACGATTCAGTTTCTGTAAACTTGTCTCTGCTAACTTTATTTAACTTTATTAATTTGTTTATACTTACTAAATGTAATACTGCAATCCACTGTACTCAGAACGTGGAATAACCTGACCTCTGAGACAGAAAAGTGCACTGGGACGGTCATTCAACTTAGTAAAATCGTCAAAGGTCAATACCAGTGAGCAGGTCATTATTATTATTATTTTTACCCCACAGTGCTGTTGAGTTCTGGACTGTGATTGGTCAGAAGATCACAGGTTTACATTTATGTGCTCATTCGAATGTGTTATCGTTTCTATTGTAACAGCTCGTTCACAGGGACTCATAATAATTAAAAGTCTCCAGTGACCGCGGTTTGTAAGAAAATCTTGTAATAAGTGATATTACAAGAATTTCCACTATGGGTTTTATCCCGCAGTGCTTATTTAGAATGGAAGCTTAAGGGTTAGGATAAATTTGGCACCGTGATGGAAAACCCCCGACACCGTTTCTTCACATGAACGTAGATATGTTTCCTCAGGCGTTATAAATTATTTTCTATTTTGGTACTTCCTCATTCCAGTCTTGTGCGTAGTCACATATTTCATATAATGCCCTATTATGAAACTGATTTCATGATTATTTCCGGAAAATACAACAGATGTAGGATTATTTTTTGTTTTCCAGAGCCGAACAAAATAAAACCACTGTTTAGCTTTTTTATTTTTAGAAAAGGGATTTTAATGTGATATTATTTTATTCGTAAACCTACAGAGTACCTATCTACATATCTGAATTTCATCACTGGATAAAATATTAATTCTGGAAAAAAAAAATCTCACAGATTTCACTTCTTGTGCACGTGGAGAAGATTTCACCGTGCAAGACTGAAAACTGGGGGGCAAAAAAGTCTATCTGCCCATCTGCGTATTTATCCATTAGACATCAAACGGCATGACGTGTTTTCCTGGTGTCTGTTGTTATGACTGATCATAAAAATTGCACACAATGATGTTTTTTTCTGAGATTCCATGACGTTTAACTGTGACTCAAGTTATTTAAAGTTAACAGAAAACAAATTGTTTTTAAATGTATTAAATTATCTTTACATAAATAATACATTTAAAGACAAAAAGTGCTATTAGAGGGACCCAGTGTTTTAAAATAGATCGTCAGTACATTTATTTATGTTGTGTTAGGATGAGAA